GAGGGACTCGCAGCTTAGGCGTCGCCGCCGCCGCCAAGAAAGACAAAAGGGACCGAGAGCCGGGAGGGGAAAAGTTTTCTGCAGGGCTCCGGACGGATATCAGCCCCAGCCCTCACGCCCCCAGCCCCGAAGAGGCGGATTGGGGGCGGGGTGCGGGGCGCGCGTCCAGGAGCGTCGCCGCGCGATGGGGACCCGGACGGTGCCAATCGCGCCGCCGCCGCCTACGACCCGGGGGACCTCCCGAGCCCTGCCGCCCGCCTGCTCCTGGAGGATCCGCGCCAGTGCCGCCAAGTTGCACTCCCAGCGCGGAGATCACTCGCGGACGAAACCCACCTCGGGAACAAAGTACCCGTTTTCAGGCGCTCTTCTCCCGGCTGGAAGGCCGGCGGGCTGAAACGGGCACACCCACCCTCGGGGCGCACCCCGAGCTACAGTGGGACCCTGGGTGCTGGAGCCAGGCATGCGGGTCCCTGCAGCCCCCCGAGGCAGCGGGGGAGCCCTGGCCAGTTCGGGGTTTTCTGGGAGCAGGCGCCGCAGGACCCTCGGCCCCACGCCCCTTGGACGCTCTCTTATCAGACGCCGCCTGGGCGGGTCGGGGTCCCCCTGGCGGGCTGCGCGGGCGCTGCGCGCACTGAACCAAGCCCGGCCGGAGCGCACGCGGCTCTACAGGGCCCGGGGGATGAGCGGCCGGCCTTCTCCGGAAAGGCGCTCCGGGAGAGCGGCGGGGGGCGCAAGGGTCGTGGGCGGTCGGGGAGGGGGAGCAGGGGCGAGCTGGGTCCCTGAAGTCTTAGGTGAGCCGTGCCAGGTCCAACTCCAAACATCAGAGCCAAGGAGAGGTTCAGTTTATTCCTCCTGGCCCCCAGACATCCAGTGAGTGGACACTGTGTCCTGTTTATAGAATGAAATTATATGGTAGTTATCGCCAATTTGGCAGAGACCGAAGTGATGATTGTACTCGTATATGAAAGTCAATCCAGTAAGTAAAATTTCATGTGAAACTGTAGGTTATGGGATATTCCGACCACCACACCGGTGTGTGCAGGACACACCAGCCCCCTGTGCTGGATGGAGATGCGGCGTGTCCCCGAGGTTTGTTTTAAGTGCTGGATTTAGATGACAAGTGTGGTATTCTGGAGCAGAGTATTTGTGTATTTCAGTGTATGATCTGCTGATGTCATTTTTTTTTTTTTTTTGGTCTCTTTCGGGACGATAAGGGGATCACAACCCTTGGTGTGGTGTCGCCTGCACCGCGCTCAGCCAGTGAGCGCACCGGCCAGTCCTATATAGGATCCGAACCTGTGGCGGGAGCGTCGCTGCGCTCCCAGCGCCGCGCTCTCCTGCTCGGCCCTGCTGATGTCATTTTTAAGAAAACTTTGATTCTGGGGATGGAAAATATGTCTGTCAGAAAGAAAGAATTCCATGCACAAATTTCCATATTAAGAAAAGATCTTGAAAATCAGCTATGACAATGAGGAGAGTCTGTAGAAATGGACTTTCTGTGGTACAATCTCCCTGCCTTGACTAGAAGAATTTGGAAATTGGCCATTTTTAGTAGAAATTTCACAATAGGAAGGGAGGGAGGGAAGAAGGAGGGAAGGAAAGAAAAAGGAAGAAAGGAAAGAAGAGAGGAGAAAAGGAAAGAAAGAAAAAAGAAAGAGGAAAAGGAAAGGGCTAAAGGAGTTGTGTGCGGAGAGACATGAGTCACCGTTATAAACCATCTGTAGTTTTATTTTTACCCCACCTGCGTCTAGTTCTCTAGCCCACAGCCACCTGCTCTATTCTTTTGGATTTGCTTACACGTTTGTCAAGGCACCTCATCAAAGGCATGTGATTCCCTTGGGCACTCCTTCTAGTTGTTGCCTCTACACTTTATAAAGAAACATCTTGAAGCCACACTTCTCTATAAAGCTCCCAAGAGTGGCCACCTCCTGGTTACCCTCAGAACCTTCCTAAGGAGTCAGTAGTAGGCTCACAGTCCATAGAGATCATTTAACATGACGCCCCGTCTAAGGCAAGTGGTGAAATGTTTAAAGTGGTCTGCTAGCCATTTCAGGCATCGAGTGTCAGAGCCTTCCTCGCAAAGGGACTGACAAGGGCCGTAAAAGAAGGAGTGGGCACATTCTTAAGGCCACAGATATCGATGATTCCTCATTTCTGAATTTATATTTCAGTGATTCAACTAGAAGAAGAAGAAAGATGGACTAAGTAAGATCACCAAAAGGGAGTTATTTAAAATTCGTGTTAAAATAATTATTATTAGTCTCAGAAAAGACTGGGGTAAAATGTCCTATAAATAGGGGATTATCTGCAATTCTGTAGTTCAAGCAACTCCCAAGATATTAGTCATAATTCTTCCCTGTCATTAAGTGCTCAAGGCAAGCTCAGGTAAATTATTTAATCTTTACTAATGGCCAATATCTTTCCATCTGAAAAGAACTCAGTGAACACACCATGCCAGTAATGGATTTTGAATTAGCTGCATAACTACTTTTGAAATAATGGATGGAAATCAACTATTTCCTAGCTCTCACCATAGATCTGCACTGCACCTCACACATACTATTTTTTGCTGTGTCCTTCTGAGATGTGTAAGTTTCCACTAGAACAACCCATCTTATAAGTGTGCATAGTGGGAAGACAGCACTGCTCCCTGTAATCCAAGCTCAGCCACTTACTAACAGAGGGACTTTGAACCTCATTTCTCCCATTCCTTAAGTAGGAACAAAGTATCTATTTCAAAGTGTTGTGAAAATTGAATGAAATAATATATTTAAGATTCCTGTTACCCCTCACATAGATCTTCAACACATTTTTAGTTGAGCACACACACACTCACACCAAACTTGTTTTAACATAATAAAAAAGGAGAATCTGTCTCTGGAATAAAGAATAAACTCAAGGAAAATGTCAAAAAATGGAGATCAATATTTTCACTCTTAGACCACTATAAATGTAAGCCTAATGGATGGCAATGAATTTCTAATGAATTAATTTTGGAAACATAGATCGCAATGATAAAGAACGAGTATTCTTAAGTAGATCATGTAACAAAGTTGAGAAGGCCTATTAGAAAGTTTGTATGGGATAATAACCATTTTCTTTTGCCATAAATGTGTTCTATAGTATCCCCAGACCTGAGAAGGGGTCCTCAACCAGAAAATAAAAGTGTCTTCAGTGGAAAACACTGGAATTGTTTGCCTGACTTTTATCTGAATTACTTTGCTCCACCTGTGAAATAGATTGATAGTCTCAAAGCCTCTGAGGTATCTCTGCTAATAGCCATGGTTGCTGTTTCAAAGTCAGGGGTAAAGAAGAATAGTTAATAAAAGACAATTATCTTTCTGATTTTATCCTTAAAATAAGGAAATAGATGGAAGGAATACAAGAGAAAGAAAAAGACTATTGAAATACATTTTAAAATAAATGTTTAAGGTTATTTTAATTTCACTGTGATTTTGAACAGCATTTTGTCATATTTTTAAATTTTTTCTTTTTCATTATGTGCAATTGACTAATAGTTCAGTAAATTTAGCAGTGGAAAGATGTCGCTTATTTCTTTTCTGTTCAGCAGATGCAAAGGAGAGTGCTAACTACTCTCAAAAAGATGTTTTCTAATGTTGGGGCTGATACTACTACTTAAATATTTTATAACTTCTGTATTAACCTCCTTATTAGATAATAAACCTGATTATATTCTTTTTGCCTGAGGGGCACTGGCAGCATACCACTTAAAAATGTGAAAGGGGACACATTCACTCCCTTCTAAAGCCTCAGTTCTTTCCTCTGGACAGATTTGTACCTGTGGAAAGGGAAGAATCACCACATAGCTGATTGCAACCCAAGAAGTACTTTTTAAAAAACATTCTGGCTGTGTGTTTTGTTATAAGAGTCTACTCATAGAAGATACAGTATTAGAGATTTGACTGTGATGGCGGAGAGGATGGTAGTGGTGTTCCACCTCTTCCACTGTCCGTGGTACTGAATAAGTCATTAGCCTTTAGTGCCTGGCTACTCAAAGTGTGGTCTCAGGATCAGCGACATTGACAATGTTGAGGAGCTGTTAGAATAGCAGGATCTCAGGCCCCAGCTCAAATCTACTGAATCATTCTCCACAACTCGACAACATCGTCACGTGATTTGTCTGCATACTAATATTTGAGAAGCACTGCTCTAAGACACAGTTTACGTTGCCCTGTGACTTCCCTGGTGCCTTGCTTATATCACCCCTTATTTCAGCCACCTCTGGAAGCACAGCCTGAATGCTGCCTTTTTAGCTGCATTTCATTTGGTGTTGACATTATGATGTTATACAGAGAGTATAGCCTTTGAATCAAATGGCTAGATTAAAATCTCGAATTGAATTGACCATTCTGATCTTCATTGTCCTCATCTATAAAGTGCCAATAATTATATGTCCTTACAACGCTGTTTTAAGTATTTAATTACAAAAAATAGTAATTGTAAGACACTTAACCTGGCACATAGAAGATGTTCAACAAATCTCTTAACCACTGTGGGAGTGCTACATCTGCGATCAAGAAGGGGTGCTCTCTCAGCGTAACACACTCAGGCATGGTGAAAATTTATTGTAAAACAATTTGACCTCCAATTTCTTCTCAATTAAATCAACAGTACAACCACATTAAATTAGTCAATAAAATAAAATTTTAAAACATATCAAATCTTCTTTCAGGTTGGAGTTTCTCCACCCACAATTATGATTTAAAATAAAGAAAGACAATTATATTAGATCTGTTTTTACTAAATTAGAACAAGATGACTTGGCATTTTGAATTCTAAAATGTTTATAAATATGTGTATGTCTTAATTATATAACCAATAGAAATCTGTACACGCTTATGGCTGACTTCGCAAACAGTAATTATTTACACTTATCAATAGACCCTAATTAAGCCACAA